GCTGCCCAATCAGCCAGTAGCAGAGGCAGTAAGAGAAGCTGGGTCTTACGAGTCCTAGTTTAGGAAGCGCAGAGCAGTTTTTCAGAGGGCAACCTACAGGCAGGGATAAAGTCAGTCTCTAAAAGAGTGATCAAATGAAATTCTGCTGTTGGAAGGTAAACAGAATCCTCCTTTTTTCTGCAGCCTGTGGAATGAGCGTATTTTGGATCCAACTGTGCAACATTAATCACAATATGGAATATTTGAGCAAAAGGTCAGCCACAGGGGGCCAACGATTAACATATGGGATTTATCTGTCTCCTTCTTCCATAAAGATGTAGCACACTGGGTAATTAAACTTTGGAGTGCCAGGCTGGAGTGTATTCTGTTTTTTTCCACTGCTCTTTGTGATTTGATCCAGAACTGTTTCCTTTCACCGTACGCTCAGAAGAAGAGGAAGCAAAGGTGGCATCCTGATCTTCATTATTAATACACAGGAAAACTTGGAGGAAATCCCTTTCATGCCCCTGGCTTTGTGTGAAGAAAACCCTGAAAACTCAAACGTCATATTATTTAGCTCCTATATATATTTATGTATCTATGTGCATAACAGATGTTTCTTCAGATACTTGCCTGATGCCTCTACAGAATGGTATGGAAAAATCTTTACAGCAATCTACATTCCAGTTGTTTACCTATATTAAATAAAAAATCTAAAAAAAAAATTAAAATGGGCATATTTGAACAAAGAAAACCACATTCTCATATGTGCAAGTCAGTGCTTCTCCATGTTATCTGGAATAGCAGTACAAGAATAATACTTGGGCAGTGCTCATCCCATGTTTAAAAATGCAGGCAGGTAATGAGGAGGCGTTTTGCCACTTTGGAAAAAGGAATTACATACAGCTCAAGAGTTTCTAAGGAAGGCACCTAGCTGAAGCTTGTCAGAAACTGCCTTTTATAACCAGCAGAAGCACTTCCTGAAGCAATGCAGACACCTACGGTAGGCAGCCTGAATCTCCCTGTGAAGGTACCTACCTCCCCCCAGTAGCCTACATGACCTGCTTAGACAAGACAGCTACTTTCAGACAGCTAAAATTAGGCAAAGGGAATCCCACAGCAGCTGACTCTCTACTCCACTTTGTTTCTGTCACAAAAAAGTTATTATTATTATTTAAGGTTATATTATGGTAACACTCAAAGGCTGGGTATGGTACAGATACAGGGTAACAAGCAATCCCTACACCTACGAAGAGGACAACCCAAGTAATTAAACGATAATCTTGCTTTTAGTTCTGCAGTTTGACTGGAAAGAAACATAAATGCCAAGAGGCAATTAAAACAAGTAATATAAAGATTTGATTCATAGGACGTCAGAAGGCGAAACTACTTATGTCCCACAATGCTTAGACAATAGAAGGACTATATACTTTTGGCTATAACGTTAATTAAAAAAGGGTTTATCTTGTTCATTATTTCCAGTACATTATTCTGTCTGAGAGCCGTTCTAAAGTGCAGCCAGTTTATTCATGGTTTGGATTCCTATATATTGCTTTTCATTTAAAACAAAATGATAACGCCTTATATAGTGCTTTTCATCTAGAAAGAGCCCCGAGGCTTCCTCAAGTGCTTTTTTGGAATTTCAGCACCCACAGCTCCGGCGGAAGAAGGCTTGTCATGAGTATAACGCAACGGTGGCCAAATTTCCTTATCACATGACCCACGTAGGATAATTTTCATATGGTCAGGAGCCATGAGGCACATACTGTGTGCCTAAAAGAAGCCAGGGGAACTCCAGGAATTTGAGTGGTCCATGGATGGGAGGCAGTAAAATCCTCAAATATCCCCTTTCCTCACTACGGGATGCAGCTGGGCTGGATCCATGGGTAGCAACTCTTACTGACTCACTTCCTCCCGCCCAGACATTTGGGACACCTAGCAGCTCTTGTGCCAGCACAGGCCCACTGGCAACCAAATGCCCCAGTTGCATCCCTTAAATTGCTTGTGAGAGGTTTGACTTGGAGTTATCATTTGACCACTGAGTGAGGAAGTAAGACACTAGGAGAACAGATTGATCTCAGCCATCATTGATCCTCAGATGCGTTCCGGGCGAGTCCTTTCAGCCTTCTGCCTCTGTCTTTCTCTTTCTCACATATGTACAGCAATAGTTTTCAAGTCTGGATACCACCGTGGGGGTTGCAAGGCAGTACAGTCATTGGAGGCAGCGCAAGCTGATGGTATGTGTGGGGAGGGACTTTGTTAATAAATCTGCACCTGGCATGGTCATCAGTACTACATAACTACACATTTAACTGAAAGTAACACTGGAATAAGGCAGCTATCAGCACCAAAAATGCCTGTGCTCCTTTGACAAGCCATGGCAGGATACCCAGAAACTTTAGGTAGCTTCAGTGAAGTGTTATATTCCATTTAAAGGTGTGGATATGCAGTATCTGTTGGGGGAAACAGTACATATCACAGCAAAAAAAGCTGTCTGAGATCAGAAAGAGTCGGGAAACACTGATGTAGTGTCAGATTTCAGAGCAGGGACAACTGCTTGCCCAATGTTTAACGCAACGGAGATAAAAAAACCTGATCAGTTCTAAAGTCTCTTTAGAAGACGAATGGTTAATGCTTACATACAGAAACGATATGGAGAGGCCAATAAGGTCAAGAATGCAAAAGACAGGCATTCCAGCTGGCCTTGCAGCTCATTTTCTTTGTTTGCTGTTCACAGTGCTCTGATCCTACACCACTTGCCCCCGACGAGCTTCAGACAGAGGGCTGTTCTTCAGAACAGGGAGCCTTTCGATATTTATACTCCTCATTCACCCAGGCACGGCATTTTACCACATTTAATAAAAAATAATCAATTTTTATGAGGTATTTTCTCTCTATAGTATCCATGGGCTCCACATACAGGAACAAACATATCTCGCAGCGCTCCTGTGAAGGAAGGTGCGTCTGGGGAACGAGGCTGGCCATAACCAGGGCTGAGGCTGCGAACACTGACCACGCAAGTCGGTGCCCAACTTGTGATGCTGCTAGTTACTTTCTGAGGAGCACGTAGCACTGTATAGCATTTCATTTCTTCACAGCGTAGCCCCGATTGCCTCTGTTGGCACTTGGCATCTGCAAATCTGATCCTCAGCTGACTTAAACCGAGCCAGAACAGACAGCGGCCACGTGTGCTTTGGCTTCCATCCACGTGCTCGGTTTTGCACAGGTATTTTGTCATTCCCCTTTTTCCTAGTGCTAGAAGAGCCTCAGGCAAAGACCTGAGCAGTCTTAAATACATGCTAGCACTCAGGATTTCCGCCTTGCCCCACAGAAAACAGTAATTCTCCTTACCCACCCGCTGCCCGCCACACGCCGGGGCAGGGGCTCAGCTAGGAGAGAGCCAGTGGCAACAGCACCTGCTGAGGAGCCAGGATGCCTGCCACGGGGACT